CGAGGGTCGTCGAGTTTGGGCCACCAGTCTTGAGTCGCAATACCCACGGAAGTTGTGCATTGCTGTTGTTCAGTCCATTCTCCAATCTCTCGGTGACAGAGGACTGACTCTTTTGCCGGGCTCCATCCAGGATCTTGACACCCATCCTCTTATGCGTGCGCAGCAAGCTCAGATTGCAACGGGGCATCAGCCTCACCGCAAAAAACTTCCTCCTCTGGTGCCTGACTCTGATGCCGTGGTTACTGCTTGCATCCCACATCCAAGTGTTGTGGACACTCCACTCCTGGGAAAAACTTGCGAAGCCTTGCATTTGCATTCCACGGAATTGCAACCCTTGGTCATTCCCCCTGCTTCACGTTTCCTGCGCTCATATTGTTCCACTCCTGAATCCATTTCCAGGGGGGAGGTGTCAAGGGATTCAGAAGCAGCTTCATCGGTTTCGGGTGCCGACCTCAGCGGGTATCCTTTTCGTGCAATCTTCGGTTTGCCGTGGAAGCCTGGGGACTTCATACAGAGAACTGCAAAGGTGGGACACCCCGGGGCTGCTAACATTGTTATCCCGGAAGATTTTGACATTGCAATTGACAGGAACATTGAGTGGAGTGATGAGCAATTGACCAAATACAGGATGGACTGGTGCAAACAATGGTTGTCAAGAGCTTCCAAACTTGACAAACTGGAGTCAGAGGATAGGATGCGGCGGCCTGAGCATGTTCGGTCCAATACGATGAACAAGAGGCTGTTGTTGACAAAAGAGATCTTGGAGAGCATCCAATACCAGGATCTAGAAGCCCTTGAGATTCTGCGCCGTGGTGCAACACTGGCCGGGAGCATTACAAAGTGTGCTATTTTTGAAGAACAGTTCAAGCCGTGCCTCATGACGGTGGGGCAACTTGAAAGTGGTGCTGCTAGGAGGAATCAGGCTATTTTGGCTATGACCACAACCTCTGGAGATGCCGCGCTGGACAAGCAGTTGCTGGAAGAGACAAAGCTTGAAATAGAGAGGCAATGGGCTCGAGGACCCTTCGAGCTTTCTGACTTGCCGGCTGGCTCAGTGATTTCTAGGAGGTTCCCTTTGGTGCAAGGTAACAAGATCAGATTGATTGATGATTTTTCCATTAGTGGTGTGAACGACAGCTGCACTATAAATGCCAAAATCGACCTTCACATGATTGACACTTTGGGCGCCGTGGCAAGGAAATTTTTCCAGTGGTGCAAGGCCCGTGGTTGGGACAGCAGCTTGAGGGCTAAGACCTTCGACCTCAAGACTGCATACCGACAAGTTTCCATACGGGAAGATCACCTTAAGTACTCGTACTTCCGTGTTTACAATTGGGAACGTGACAAACCGGAGATCTACCAAATGGTGACGCTGCCTTTTGGAGCAACCCACTCTGTTTACAATTTCTTGAGGTTGGCAAGGTTGATTCACTCAGTGGCCGCCCGTGGTTTGTACTTGATCAACACCAATTTCTATGATGATTTTGTACTCCTCTCCAAGCCGGCCAGTTGTGTCTCCAACAATGCCATGGAAATTTTGTTCATGCTGTTAGGCTGGGAGTATGCAAGGGAAAGAAAGCCACGGAATTTTCAGTGGTCTGCAAAGCTCTTGGTGTTGAGTTTGATTTTAGCAAGAACAGCGCCTTATGTTTGTCTACAACACAGAGCAACGCAAGCAGGACTTGATATTAAAGCTTTCTGAGGTTTTTGAGCAGGGCGTGTTATCCAAACATGATGCCCTGGTGCTCCGGGGCAGACTGGGCTTTGCTGATAGTTTCCTACACGGTAGACTTGGAAAACTGGTTCTGAAGCAAGTAGTTGAGCATGCCTATTCTCGAAGCAAGGAAATTGGCTCTGACCTTCAACGTGCACTCTTGGCAATGAAGACCAGGTTGGAATGTGGGAAACCCTTGCAAATATCTGAACGCAATGGTTTGTGTATACAGATGCATCCTTCGAGACGGAGGAGAAAGTAGGAGGCATCGGAGCGCTCTTGGTGGACTATCAGGGAAACTGCATTGAATGGTTTGGTTTCCGCTTGAGCCCTGATGATTGCAAGGTTTTTGGAAGCACCGCAAAGGAAACAATCATTTATGAGCTGGAGTTGGCGGCTGCAGTCCTGGCTCTCTCATTCTGGGAGGAGCCATTGGCTAGCAGCCTTGTGACTTGGTTCGGTGACAATGATAGTGTGCGCTTTGCTTTGATTCGGGCCGCAGCCAGCGGCAAATGTGCACAAGCGTTGATGTGTTACCACCTGAATTCAGAAGTGAACCTGAACATGAACACTTGGTTCGCGAGAGTACCAACAGAAGCTAACTTGAGTGACTTTCCTTCGAGACTTTGTCCTCATCCGCTTCTGGTTGAAAACGCAGAAAAGACCATGGCTGCACGACGGAGTTTCAACGGCTTGATGCAGTTTGTTGCACAGATTGAGGAGCAACCCGAATTTAAATGGGGGAATAGAGCTCGTGTTGCCCCCAGTGAGAAAAGAGTTCGCTGAAGTCTTGTGAAGTTCCTTTTGCAAAGACACCAAACCTGACAATGACGACGCAGTTCACGAAGTGATCGAGTAGTCATATTCAGGTTTTAGGAAAACATCGTTTTCCGGGTGTCTTCTTGAATAGAGTTCCGTGCAGCTTTTTGACTTAGGGCGGGAGCGGTGGGCCGTTTTTGACCGTTGTGTCATGATCTCAAAGAAGCCCACCCCCCCCACACCTGTGTTGGCAAAGCCACACTTGGCCAACCCAGAGCCTAACAGAGCTCGTGTTGCCCCCAGTGAGAAAAGAGTTCGCTGAAGTCTTGTGAGGTTCCTTTTGCACAGACACCACACCTGACAATGACAAAAGAGTTAAAAACAATTCCAAAAATTAAGTCGCGGCCCATTATGACCAAAAATGCGCCCCTTGACCCAGCACCAGGAAGAAACGACCAAAAAAGTGAGACGCTTGATCCGGCGCCGAAAACCAGTTGGCTCCGCTTCGGGGATGAAAGACCCTTGTCTTCTTAATCCTGCTGGGTTCCAACACGTTGAATTCCGAATCTGCAGTGCTCCTGCGGCCCTTGCCAGGGACGAATGGTGCGGGTGGTGGCATTGCGTCTATTGACCCTTTGGTTTGACCACGTTGAAGAGTGCTTTGAGTTTTCTTGGTTGCTCTTTCTTTTGCTTGTGTTTTTGGCTGCACTTTTTTTCCAGAACATGCCTCCAGTGGACACAAGGCCACTTACCTCCGCTGTGGACACGTTCTGGCGCCCACACCCAAGGCTGCCTGCTCAGTTGCAAGTCCGTCAAATCTTGGCAAATGATTTTGGCGCAAACCCACCGTCTACTGTGGACATGTACATTTTCGAGGGGGAACCAAGACAAACCCCCGCTTGTCGGGGCCACAGGGACCCTTCTTGGGCACACCCTGCACTCTCACTGAGGAGTCTGGGCTAATGTCACAAGGGAAGAAGGGTGGGCCAGCTGCGGGCCGCCATGAGTCCCTTGCCTTGCTTCTGTGCGGGGTTCGTTTTGGGCCCTCTCCGATCTTGAATTCTTGAGCGGTTGGCTCATTGACCGCATGGCACAGGGGGAGAAAACTCACAACTGTCTTGTGGGGACAGGCATGTGTCTGGGCTGGTGATCAAACGAAGGCCCTGTGGCGGATGCGCCCAGCTTCCAAGAACGTCAAGCACCATCCCCCTAATGCTCTCTGTGAATTTGTCTGAGACCATGACAAGATTGGAAGTCCGTGGAGCCAATTCTCGGACTTCGGTTGCTTCTGTGTTCACCTAAGTCAGCCGTTCACATATGCTGCCTCTATTCGTACGAGGGGAGGCAGGGTGAAGGTGCGTTAGGGCTGCTGCATGAAAGCGTCCAGCAGGCACTGCCACTCAAGCGATGGCAGGCTGCCACTCCTGGTCGAGTCTGCAATTGAAGCAGTTTGCCGCATCGTGGTGCAAACTCGCTCCACAGAGAAAAACAGAAACGCTTTGTTTGAGTCCCGTTTTTGTTTGTTTGTTTGTTTGTTGGTTGGTTGGTTGGTTGGTTGGTTGGTTGGTGGTTTGGTGTGGTTTGGTTTGGTTTGGTTGTTTGGATTGATTTTTGGTTTGTTTTTGTGTGGCTTTTGGTATGTTTTTGTTTGGTTTTTGGTTTGGTTGTTGTTATATATTTTTGTTTGTGTTTTGTTTTTTGGACGTGAAAGGCCCAACTGTTGGACAATGTATGAAAATGTCTTGTAAATCGACAATTTGGACCGACCCACGATGTGATGGTGCGGAAACTAGTTGTCAGTATTGCACTCATGATTGAAACAAATAGAAGCAAAAGACACTTGGCACATAGCTGGCATTCATGATGGTCAAACTGTGGCACCTTCCCTCACACCAAATCTTTTCATAAGTGTTGGCCTTTTCAAATTTTTTCAACCGCCTTTTCGGATTCTTGAGCGGCTTTGACCTGAGTGTCCATTAAAGAAATCAATCTTGGGCTGCCACTCAGAAGCGCTGTTCCACCTGAAGCATCATCGTCGAAAAACTTCTGAATGTAGGGGATTCGGGCCCCAATGATTCATTGATGAAACCCGATGAAAACTGAAGAGGGAGCCTAAGACGATCGCAATTCATGGCAGGAACAAGGATGAGGAGGAAGATGTGAAAACAACCAATGCAAACAAACCCAGCGAGATCCTCAAACAAGAAACCTTCGAACTTCAAGGGATTGAATGGTTGGAAGTTCAAGCCTTTTGAATTCTTTGCTGTCTTCACCTTAATTAGTTTGAACATTGAGTTACATAGGGCCCTGCAAGTCCCCATTCTGGTTCTGAAATGGTTGTTTGTGTTTTGGAGGGATGTTGAGCGAAACGAATTGCTCCACATGCATTCCCACCTCTGAATCTTTGACTTAAGCTTCTTGTACGTTTGTAGGGGTTGGGCGGCCGAGCTTCATTTGCAGGCAAGATTGCACCATTGCATGCCATAGGCCCTAGGCTGTGAGTGTGCCATGATTGGCTGACAAGGATATGGACCGCGCTGAAAGTCTTGAGAGTGCAATTTGTGCAGTGCAACAGGCCCAAAGCGGAAGCAAATTCAGTGCATCATAAAAGTTTCCTTTAATTAGCAAGTAGTCAAGATGCAGACTTGCAGGCCATCGGACACGCCGGTCTGTCCTCTGAATGGACCTTGCACACGTCAAGCATGTCAATGTTGCAACATTTGCGATTTGATGATTTTGTCACAGGACAAGTATCCTGAGCTCGAAGCTGCGGAGGCTGAGTGGATTTGGAGCTTTTACATGCAAAACATGTTTTTTTTGTTATTTTTTGTCTGAGTTCGAGGCCATGTGAACTATGTCCCGATGTGAGGAGAGTGAGAGCCTCAGACAGTTATTCCAAAATACTGTATGGTCAATGATGGCATTGTTTATGTTAGAGTCTGATTTCTACATGGCAAGATGGGGACGTTCATCCAGCTATGAATCAAGGCATTCCTGGAATACAGACGGTGTAAAGATGATGTCTTGTGCGTACATGTGTGTAATCCATGTTGTTTGGGAGTTTGCATTCTGTAGAAGCCACATGTAGGGTTTCAATACAGCTGCAGCAAGGTTCTTGAGAAGAATGGCTGGGTTCGGGGATCGCGGCTGAGTTTGCTTTCCATTTTAAACAAACAGTGCGGGGTGTATTCTTGTGACGCGCGAGTGTGTGTGTGTGTGTGTGTGTCTTTGTGAGTGAGAGGGTGGGTAGAAGTTGCTGACTTATTGCTGTGGACCCCACCTCCGGAGCCAAGCATTTTTCAGACCATGGGGAACAGCTAATTCTTGGTCAAAACTGTTTCTGACTCGTTGCAGCCGTTTTCTTTTTTTCCCGAACTTCTATCTCAACCACAGCAAGAACTTTGAGGTCAGTTTCGATCTCCCCCAGTACGAGAGCTGCTGCTCAGGCATGGCATGAGCTGATATGTAGTGAGTAGTGAGCATGATTGGAGAGGATGTTATTCTTTGGACTTATGCTTTCAATCCTCCAAGGGAGCTCCGTGAATTGGCAAACACAGTGCGCGACTTTGCATCCAGGGAAGCAGCCAGTTACAGCTTTTTGTGGCACATTTATATATCTTTGTTGAATATTGTAACGTTCAGGATCACGGACAAAGCTCGCTCCCTGTGCGGCTTGGTCCTTAACATTTCTTTTGACATGGAAAGATGCCAGGATCGTCGACGTTTTGGTTTTGAAGCAAGCTGTCGCTCCAATCCAGCCTCGTTGCTTGTGAGCACTTTTAGGTTGGATGATGACCGCCGATTTGAGAAACAATATTCTTTTGAGGCCGAAACATGTTTTCCTGGTCCTTAGTTCTCCGCCGATCCAAGAACATGCTCTGACGCTACACAGACAGAAGCACTGCAAGCGGCAGCTGTTGTTTTCTCGAGTCCCCAACCCCTTCACATAATTCATTGGAGATTGGATCCAGGGGACTCTGCATAAATACCATCTTGCCATGCCGCTCAATACCAGCACACGTCGTGCAGGAATAGACGCGTCGCATCATTTTGTGGTCCTTGTGTTTTCTGTGTAGTTCTATCAAACGCCACTACATTTTTCAAGTGCGCATGCAGAATGGGAGAGTGGTGGAGTGAGAAAAGGATGAGGAAATCAAGAACCCCTGAGCTCACATCAGCGACAGACATACCGTCGTCTTGCGAGTGTAAATCAAGCCACTGGCAACTTGAACATAAAAAGTCTAATAACAACTGTACAATGAGAGCTTGAAATGAAGCAGCTTGCAAGCAGAGTTCTTCCTGCATTGCCTGCTTTTGTGGAAGCATGGGCATGAAATAGGACCATAGAAGTCAGTACTGGCAGATGCAAACTCAAGGCAACTTACAGTAATTACTTTGCTGCCACCTTCACTAGGAGTTTACAAACAAATAGATTGAGTATAGAGACGGCATGGCAACTCAAGCTGTGCTGGTTGTAAGGGGCGGGTGACACTTTATTGGAGTTGGCGGTCATAGAAGTCACACTATCAAACAAGCTCCTGTATTGTTTGAGGCCATCGCTAGTAGGTTGGAGGCCATTGCTTCTAGGGTGGAGTCCATCGCTATTAGGTTGGAATCTATTCAGCTCACTACAGCTCAACATGTTTTGCAAGTAGACATGCCAATGTAGTTTGGAGCTTTCTGCAAGTATCCATTGTATTGTTTCTCTATTGTTCCTAGGTGTGGGCACCAATTGTTGTTTGAGTAGTCACAGTAGTCTGAGAAGCATCATACTGGTCAGGAAAAGGAAGCACCAGTTGGAGAAGGAACCTACGGAGCAGTGTATCGGGCCTTTTGCAATCTCTCGACCAGCTGGCTCTCATTTCAACTTCCTTCACTTGATCGTGCTAAAGTTTCACACTGGCCAGGCGAAAGACTGTAGCCATCAAACGTGTGAAGATGGAGCATGAAGACGAGGGGGTCGGAATCTTTAAATCTTGAATTTTGATGTCTTTGAATCTCCAAGCTTTCGCATCAGCACCATACGCTTTGTATATATGTATATATCTATGTATATATATATATATTTAAATTCTGCGGGTCCAGAATGCATGCTTGGTCACATGTTCCGGTTGATCTCGATGCTCAAGTCGGGTGGGCAGGGCGGTTGTGCAGCATCCATAGCTGCTTTGAGCCATAGAAGAAAGGCTTCGCTACGGAAAGAGCTTGAAATCGCGCAGGGAGGGTGAAACAAAGTGAGCGCCGTGGGAAGGCTGGAAGGATACAGGGTATCCAAAGAGTGTCAAGAAGCAAGGCTTCTAAACAAAGGTGGGAATTCAAACCTGTTTTGGTTGTGCATTCATACTGGTGAGAGCCCACACTCCGCAGGTCTCCCTACCAGTTGCAAGATCCTGACTGTACTTGTACTTGGTAGCGGAGCTACTGGGCGATCACTCAGGGATCTCCAGAACTTTGCATTATGGCGTATAGTATAGGTTGTTGACATGCCTGAGTCTGCAGGATCCGCTGCACTGGACATGGTGCTTCCTCATCGACCGGAAATCAGTTGTCCGCACTCATCCCGACCTTCGATCCATCCACGGACAGTGTGGAACAGTGGTCTCAAAAGATTGAACTGTTGACACAGGTGTGGCCAGAACGTCGTTTGGGAGAGATCGCAACTCGCATCATCTTGAACTACAAGGGCTCGGCATTTGCAAAGCTCCAGCTCAAGAGGAAAGACTTGCTTGCAGGGACAGTTGACAGCATATCCCAAATTGTGGAGATACTTTAGCCAGGTGAACCTTGAGCAGAAATTCGGCATCGTCGAAGGCCCCTTTTCAGATCCAGACGAGAGCGCAGATTCTCCCTCGCTCGGGCAGAGGTAGTCTGGACAGAATTGCTGATGAAAAAGATCAACCTCGCTGAAGTTCAGGCCCACATCATCTTGCGAGGCAGCAAATTGTCCATTGGAGACAAGAAACGGGTGCTTGTTGAGTCAGGAGCCGAAAGAGCCGGAAGCGAGCTGGAGATGAAGAAGTTTCAGCTGCAATCCGAATGCTCGGATCCTCATTCTTCCAGGAGTACACTGCTGGTAAGAAGGAGAAATCGTTGAAGACCTATGACCACCTGGCTTCTGGGGTGCTGGGAAGGTGATGAACACATGGAGGAGGATTCCTTGGAAGTTTTAGCAATGGAGGACGACGAAGCCTCCTTAGCGCTGTCCTTCAAAAATGACGCCGTCCAGGAGGACAAGGATTAGCCACGTATTATGTGAGCTGCCAAAATCTCCACGAGATGAGAGATTGCCCAGAGCTAAAACGCCACCCAAACCTGGTCTGAGGAAACCACCACCTCCTCCGCCCAGGGACTTCATGTCACTAAAGAGAAGCGTACCCCAGCAGGAGGAAGGGAGGGACCGGAGCCGGTTGGAAAGCGCCGCCGCCACCCCAACCAGCGGGTTTTGTTCCACCAAAAGCAAAAGGATCGGCATCATCAGGTGCACAAGGAACACCCGAGGAGAGTGCAAGAGGAACCCCCAGGCATTTTGAGCGGTCCGCTCAAGCGTACCAAGACAAAGGAATGTGAGAGGACCTATGGGCCCCCAATGCCAGGGAGGAGGAGGAGCCATTTCGACCTTCCGGAATGTTTGAGAGAAACCCCCAAACTTACCATGGGGAAGGAACTCAGAACAAGCAAGATATCCGACGCGAAGAAGAGGCAGAAGCACAGGAGGATGCAGAAGAGGAGGAGGGAGGAGCAAG